GTTAAAAGCCTATCAGGACCAGAAGAGTAGTTTGAAACTCAGGGAAGACGAAGGGGTTTTCATACATATATCTGCACATGGAAGCTAGAAATTAACCTCAATTGCCTTTCCTCAGGCACTGTAGACCTTGTTTTGTGAGACAAGGTCTCTCCTTGACTTGTAGTCCACAGGCTGGCCAGTGAGCCCCAAGCATTTGCTTATAACTGCCTGTCCAACTCTGAGATTACAAGCACATGCACATTTAGCTTTACATGGGTCCTAGAGATGAAAACTCTATGTGGTCCATGTGACTACATAGTAAAAACCCCAGGCTTTTTGAGCCTAATCTGTTTGAGATGAATATCCAGCTTGAGATTGAATCCGGAATAAAGTCTATGCTTTAATAAAAACAAATGCATACAAAGCTCTGTGAAACAAATTGCTATAAGATGACTTCTTGGTTAACTGATCCTTTTTTTCTAAAACCTCTCTTGTTCCCACCGTCAATGATGCTGCAGGCCAGTCTGGTAGCCAGGATGGTATAAGTCTACTCTAACACAATCAATATCAGCTATAGTGTGTATGTGCCATAAATTGAAACAAAGAGTGACTTTTCCCAGAAATCTGGATTTAGAAGTAAGAGATTCTTGCTCAATCTGTCTGTGCTCTTGAATAGAGGACACATAAACACTAAAAGTGGTGGCAGTGACTATTTTTGTCCATTTCGGCAAGAAAACACAGAAGCCAGCCTGCTGCTGAGACAAGAATGAAGAACACCTACCAGAAAAGAGAGAGGGCTTCCTGTTTCCCCAGTCATAGGCTACTGCCTGAGTCCCACTTATAGCATGCTATCCATGTCCTTCAAATCCATATGAACACCACAGGATCCATCAACAGCATTAAAACAAACAGGCCATCACTAGCATTCTGGGCACTTCAATTGTATTTAGTCTAAAACGACTGAGAATCAATTTTTCCAAATTCTCTGAAAGAATTCAATTCTGACACTCAAAACAGTTAAATAAATCATCATAAAATATTAAGTAGTTAAAAAAAAGGCATGCATGTGTGTGTGTGTGTGTGAGAGAGAGAGAGAGAGAGAAAGAGAGAGAGAGAGAAAGAGAGAGAAAGAGAGAGAGAGATTGAGAGAGAGAAAGAGAGAGAAAGAGAGAGAGATTGAGAGAGAGAAAGAGAGAGAGAGAGATTGAAAGAGAGAGAGAGAGAGAGAGAGAGAGAGAGAGAGAGAGAGAGAGAGA